AGTTTGCTTCCATGAGCACTAACCCAAGAAGTGCTCAGGATGTTGCCAAGTCTCTGTGTCAATATTTTACATATACAACCAGGACTATCAGCTTACAAGAATCAATATATTGGTTCATCAGAAAAGCCATGATATATTTTTCAATTTTTTTCTATGCAAAAATGTGTCATGACTTTTCTGACAACCCAAAAGTAGCAAGTGAGCTAAAATACAAGGAAAAATGCTACTTCCTAAGAGTTCTTTCCACTCCGTTTCTTTCCTATGTTGCAAGCAAGGCAGTTATATATGTTCGAAGTATGCTATTTAGACCTCTTTTCCTTTAAAAAAAAAAAAACTCCTTAGGACTCCTTAGGGTCCTTTTGAAAGGTCAGAACCAGAAGAACCTACATCAGTGGAGGCTGAGGACCTTTTTGACAACAAAAGGCAAATAGCTAGCTTTTCCTGGGGCCTCTTCTGGGTAGAACTGCCCAAAGAAGCAACACAGTCACAAAGGATTCCTAGTGCCATTGTAAGGCGCCACAATCCCTAAGTACACAGATGAGTAATAGCATAGGGAAGCAGCGACAGGGTTGAGGTTGAGGATATAAACTTACTTGATCCTCCTTGAAATAGTTGTCCATTTTGGAACCTATAAGAGAAAACAAAAACATGATAACAAGAAGCTGAAGGTAGAAGTGTCACCTTACATGTAGACATGTGTAATAGCAAGTCGTCCTTAAGTGTTTGTGAGAGAGCTGAGCACGAAGGCAGGTGTGCATGTGAGGCTGGGCACCTCCAGGGACAATGATTACAGAGGATCCACTGTCTAAAGTTCAAATTGAACTTCCAGTGGCATTGCCTTTATTTCATAGTCAAACACACACACACATATTTTGTTAAATAAATAAAATAGAGATTTGGGGGCTGGCTCCATAACCTAGTGGGAGAGCCAGATCCCACAAGGCTGGCAGTGGTTTGAATTCCAGCCCAGGCAAATTGAAAAACATGCCAAACATGTGAGCATGCATGCTCCAAGTTCCAGCAGAACGGAGAAATGGAGGAGAAGTTAGGACATGACCATGCCCCACAGGGGAGGGTACTCTCTCTCTCTTCCTCTCTCTGTCTCTCTCTCTGGTAAGTCCATGTGCCCTCTCACAAGTAAAAGAAATAGTATTTGAAAAGCATCAGTATTTTTCTGGTTCTAAACAAACATAATAAAAAGGTAAGACCTACATATGCTTAAATACTTACAAATTCCCATGTAAGAAGCAAGGGCTTACCTTCAATGTGGGTGCCATAAGAAGCCTCACAGTAACCACCGTCCATTAGCCAAAACACTAAATACTGCTCGAGTAATTAAGATGACAGCAGATGTGTAGTAGCTAGCCAAGAAGACCTACCTCACCTGTTTCCAGTTGCATAAAGACACGTCCGGGATTCTGTTTGTTCTACTAGGTTGATTTTCACCGTTGGCATCCAAGAGAGTGCTATAGGTCTCCCTGGCATCTTACAAGGGTTCAGTGAGGTTTATTCGCCTCCTCTGGACACCCTCCTCTCCCCGTACATGCCCCGTGTATCTCCCACAGGTCATTTCCAGTGCCCCTTAGAGCATTCTTTTCTCAAAGCTGTCCTCAAAGGATGCCTACAAGTGACAAAGGAGTCTTAAGATGCAACAGTAACTATGCTTTTGTAATAATTAAATTTACACTTTAAAAAACCTAAAATAGTATTAATTCTTTTAGAAGTATAGTTAATAAAGCAGGCTTCATGACCTGGTGGTTAAAGCAACCAGATCCCACATGGCTGACCATACAGTTTGAGACCCGGAACTAGCCGCTTGAGAAACATGCTGGGCATGGGTGTGTGCATGCCTAAGATCCTCAAAAGAGAGAAATGGAAGAGAAGGGATTACACATGACCACTCCACATAGTGGGGTGCTTTCTCCTCTCCCTCTTTCTCTGTCTGTCTCTCTGAGGGACACAAACACTTGCTAGAGAGAAAAAAAAAAGGCTTAGATGAAAAGGCCACCTTTTATTGGAGTTAAAGCAAAGGAAGTTACCTAGCTTACTATATTTGATTACTCAGATGACACCATACAAAATGTAAACTTTTTTTCTGAGTAACCAAGGCTTATTTTTAGTTTTCTGCCTGAATTTCTGCTTTCCTCACTGAAGACTTAATCACATTTCACTGAACTCCTGGTTTCTTCTTTCCCTGTAAGCAACTCCTGTCAAACCTTCCCAACTCTCTTGTCAAACCCCGCAAGTAATTTTGCTTCTGCACCAAGCAAGTACTAACTACTCTCATAATCTATACGCCTCTTTCAATAATACTCATCCACAGAGCATAGAATTCTCCCTTCATTAAAAAAAAAAAGAAGAAGAAGAAGAAGAAAGAAATTTTACCAAAAAAGTGAATAGAGGCCATCTCCCTCTTAGGCCTTTAGTTCCGATTCCTCAGTGCAGCACTAGTCGGCAAACTTTCTTGGAGACAGAACTAAGCCTGTTCCTTTCGTAGTCTTCAAGCTTGCCCAGCAATCTCTATTCTAGCTGCCCCCAGGGATTTCTTAGAAAACCACTTTTCCCTGTGAGCACTGGTTTAACAGGTAGCTGTTGAGCTGTAGACACTGGGACAAGGCACTAACAAGAAGTAGAAATCCCTACCCTTGTGGGGAGAACATTCCAGTGAAATAGACGCCACCTCAACTGGAATCATGGGAAAACTGCTCTCTGAGAGTCCACGTCATAGGTAACTTGAAAAAAATCCCATTATTTCTTTCCCCTTTTTTTTTGTTTTGTCTTTAATACTATGTATTTGATACTTCCCATGACATTCAAAATGAGAGGGAATGAAGAAAGCTTCTCCTATTATTTATTTCCCCTTTTTTTTTTTTATTTTGTCTTTAATACTATGTATTTGATACTTCCCATGACATTCAAAATGAGAGGGAATGAAGAAAGCTTCAGGACATAGAATACATAACATTCTTTGAAAGAGAACAAGGATTCTTTTTAAGCAGACTTTCTGTTTTGTACCTCTACTTTAACCTTTGTTTCAAACCAATTTATGGAAAGGACACTGCATGAATGTGTGTGTAAGAGGAAGGTACAGGGCCGTATCTTTTCAAAGAGTATCCTAATTATACCATTCAGCGGTTAATAAGGAGAGGGACATTCAGAAGTTTATTCCTAGTGTCAGAACTTTATTTATTTAGCCTGTATCAGAAGTTAAAAATATACAGTCACACTCTTAGACCATGTTTCCAATTTATTGACTTTTTAATTGATCAAAATTGCAACACAAGAAGGGAAGTTCTTACCATTAACATAAATTTTACATGAAGTTTAGATCCCAAAGGGATTTTTAAATCCACTAAATCCAGTTATTTTTCCAATGGAAAGTTAACTGGGAAGTCCAAGTTACAGTCAGGTAACCTAGAGGCTCTGGCTGCAGGAGGTTGTGTCTGGGGCCTCTGGAGCGCTGGCTGCAGAAGCCATGGTGCCTCAGGGAGTGCAGCTGCTAATCCAGGTCAAATCCACTTGCTCATATTTGGAAAAAACGGAGACCAAGGAGATTAAGTTATTTGCTGAAAGCTGCACAGCCACTTAGTACAGCAAAGATAGACTCAAGCCCCTGCTACACGTCTAATGCCGTGCCTTTCCTTACAATGAAAGCACCTTGTTCACTGACTCTCATTTTCCAATATTTAAAGAAAAATGTAAAAAACTCATTCTCATTTATGTGACCGAAGGCTGTCTGGATTCAAATCTCTCCAATGAGCAACATTGTAACACCTTCCTTTTGCATTTGGAGGCAAGTTCTTGGCTTTGCTCACCTAGGCTCCACAAGAGACCATCTTCCCTTGTGTACCCAGAAGCTGCAGGAGAGGAATGCTGGAAATAATGAAGCGGGGCAGCTTCCTGAGCTTTTCTCCTCTTATTTGAAGGTGGCCAAAGTATTCTCCCCCTAGGAAGTCCTGTTTAATAATAGAGGCTTGATAAGCTTTGTATGGCTGTCTAATTCCCCCTTACTACTCTAAAATTGACCCTAATATCTCACCTCCCATTCTTAACTCCCACACAGGACATCCTGAACCACAAGGCTTCATGAGGAAGCCCCCAGGAAAACTAGCCCTCGCTTCTCTTAGTCTAAAATGATATTGTCAGCAAAATTACCATGTGCTTTTGAACAAACACTGAAGCTGACCATACCCCACACTTTTTTTTTTCTTTTTTTTAGAGATTTTTACTATAGGGCATGTGTGCTCTCCAGGAAGACAGAGAGACAGAAAGCAGGAAGTCACCACCTAGTGGGGATGGCCACAGTGCATACAGCAGTCCCTTCTCCTGCACACTGCAGTCTCTTCTCCATTCTCCTCTTGGGATTCTGGGCACACACACACACACATGCCCACATGCTCAGTGTGAGTTTCAAGCCACTGCTTCCAGGACTTGAGCCATGGTCAGCCATGTGGGAGTTCAGCAATGTAACCACTCATCTGCTGGTCCCACCCATACTTCTTAACTTGTAGTAGGGGAGGGAAACAAAATGAAGGATTTCCCTGATAGTGAGAAATTCTTGGTTTTCTCCCCTGCTCTCATATTTTTAACTTGACCTTCAGGCATTTTTGCACTGAAATTTTGGCAGGAGTGCTCTGACATTGAGGGAGGGTAAGAGAGAGAGAGGGCCTCTGTGTTCACAATATAGTAACTTACTTTAGCTCCTTTATCTAGGTAGCTTCCTGGTCTATCTGAGCCACAGCCCACTTCCCCCCTGCCTGCCGCTGATAGAGTTTTGCCAGCCACCCTCATGATATTCCCAAAAGGCAGGCCTAGCCCTTATCCAACTGAAGGGGAATGATTTGACAATACACAGTTCCTTCTTCCTATTCTAGAAAACTGTCTAGAATTGGGTGTCTGTCATCTCCATATCCCTAAGTCACAGACGCACAAATAATAGCATTTCAGGACTATTTGTGAAATACGTTATTAACATGAAACCTACATTGTCCATCTTTCAGGAAGAAAATGAGATCCCTGCCAGTGTGTTTGTGAAAGAGCCAGTTTCCAGCCCAGCGGAAGGGAAGGAGGAGCTTGCGGATGAAAACAAGTCCCTGGAGGAAACCTTGCAAACAGTGGACCTCTCATCGGATGATGAATTGCCCCACGATGAGGAGGCCCTGGAAGACAGTGGAGAAGAAAAGATGGAAGAAAGTAGGGCAGAGAAAATAAAAAGATCCAGCCTCAGGAAAGTGGATAGCCTCAAAAAAGCATTCTCTCGCCAGAACATTGAGAAAAAGATGAACAAGCTGGGGACAAAGATTGTATCTGTAGAGAGGAGAGAGAAGATTAAGAAATCACTCACATCAAATCACCAGAAAATGTCCTCAGGGAAAAGCTCCCCCTTCAAGGTTTCTCCCCTCTCTTTCGGTCGAAAGAAAGTTCGAGATGGAGAAAGCCCTGCAGAAAATGAGACCAAGTCTGATGACATGCCTTTCAGTGAGCAGATGTCAAATGACCAGGAGGAGAGCTCGTTTGCAGAAGGTCTTTCTGAAGCATCCCTCACCAGTGCCCAGGTAGAAGGGAAAAGCACAGAGAGGGATGCTGAGAAGCTGGCCTTGAGAGGGAGTAACTCGGGAATGCACAGCAACATCGACTTGACTATCGTGGAAGACGAGGAAGAGGAGCCAGTGGCCCTGGAACAGGCACAGAAGGTGCACTATGAGGGTGGCTGCATGCTGACCTCCCAGGAGACAGAGCAGTCGGGTGAGGAACCCATGCAGCCTGCTGTGCTCCAGGTGGACCAGACAGCCTGAGCGCATAGCCCACGGTGCCTAGCCTGTGCTTTAGTTAAGTGGGCCACTAGAGCCTATAAACAAACTCCTACACATCTCCAGCACCACCCACTCACTACTGTGTGACTTTCCAGGCAATAGTCATTTAACCACATAGTGGTAGCATACCCGAGACCAAGATCTCCTATGATAGCAACCTGTCAGGGCACCACTCGTCATTCGCTCTTAGATTCTGTTTCTGTAGAATTTCTCCAAGATTGCCAGGAAGAAATGGAGCAGTTGAAAAACACTGATCCATTCGGTTTCATCAGACAAAAACAGTGGCTACTTAGTCATGAGACATGATTCATTTATTTTGTCATCCTGTAAGCTTGCTGAATAGTGTGCTAGGAATATATTGAATTTCTTAAGTATTCTGTGAATCTGATTATTAAGTGTGACATATAATATACACAAATATGTATGTGAAAGACATAACTATATTTGAAGAAGAAGACATTGTTAAAAGGGAGATGAGCATGTTCAGTTGGTTATTCACTTAGTAGAAACCAATTTTTAAATTTTAAATGAAGGAAAAATTGAAAGACTGTAAGTGTCAACTAATGAGGTAAGATATATAATGAAGTCAGGACTATTAGAAAGCTAAGGAGGAAAAGTTAGAAATAGAAGAAATAAGAAATAAAGAATGATAATAAAGACAAAGACAAAAATAGTATATGCTTCACAGTGAAATATTTATAATGTTAGCTTAACTATTTTCACTCTTTAAATAACAATACTAAAGAAATTCATATACTTGGATTATATCTTCACAGTATTTTTATTTTCTAATGTTTAAAAGTAATACACATTTTAAAGTTGCATCTTTTAATAAAAGATATTACAACTATTTCTCTAAGAAAGCTCAAAATGATGCTGTCTTTTTAACATTAGAATGAATATCACTTTTCAGAGAATAATTGATATACAGGGCCTTTGTAAGGAGGTTGGATCATACTATTCTTTAATGTAATGTTTTCCAGGTTTGAAATAACCCTTACATACTCCACATGTTAAAATCTACAAGTTTGGAAAGGGAAGGATTCTACTTTTCCATTTTGTACATATTAGAAATTCCATCCTAGGTCATATTTACATATTAATTTCACATTATATTAATATGTGTCTTAACTTTCTAAAGCATGATAGTGTTTTATGTGTATATACACATTTATTCAGATAGGGTAACTCTTACTGCTGCCTAACATTACACTAAAATATTACTTTGTCTTTTTTTAATTTAAAAAGGCTGATATTTTGTTAAAACATAGTTTAAAGACAGTTGATACAGGGAGCAAATTCCCTACCTTTAGTGTGTACTGCCTCAAATACCCTTATAAGGAGAGGTAATTCAAGACAGTATTAACAAACTATGCTTTGTCATGAGTAAATGGGATAGGATTCACAAATGTATTGATGGCATAACCTATTCAGCTATGTCCTTATTTTTGCAATAATGTAACCCCAAATGTTGGCTTGTTGAACTAACAATGACTGTGTTTAAGAAGATTAAATAAACCAAAAAATAAAAAGTATGTAACAATGTCAGGTTTTTGGCAAGACAATTTTAGAACAAGCAGAAGGAATTGATTTTTAAACTCTCCTCCAAACATAGCAGTAATGTTGATTGTTTCAGTCTTGATTTCACCTATTAGCTCTGCTTTCGTTTTTTTCCCTGATCGCATTTAGAAATCCAAGCCTCATTCTTCAAGTTGAACACTCTTGACATCACTTCTCCAGCTCTGGAAAGCATCTGAATTTATTGCAGCAACTTGATGAATTTGATAGCTCCATCTACATTTTTATTATATTGTACCAGGCCTTTTATACCTTAAATAGTCCTGCAAACATGAATGTATTGAACTGTATGTTTAGTTTATTCACGCAGATAAACCTTTGTCTTCTGCAGTGCCATAGACTTGCTAGAAGACTTCATTTAATTCAGGGCCCAAAGTGTGGCTGTTTAACCTTTACAAAGTTGCTGTCGCTTCTTATAGCCAAGGAGTTGGGGGATCTGGAGCAAATGTAATGTTTGCATTTCCTCTTTAAAAAATGTTTTTTCTCTTTTGTTCCTAAAACTACCTGTATGTCAGTGGAAAACTTCATTCAGGCATCTTTTTTTAAGTTTTATGGACAATCACACTTATTCTGCGTTCCACATTCAAAGCACTAAAATCCTAAGCAATAAAACAGAGAATTAGGCCAGATAATTGTTGGAAAACACATACTGTAGGGATTAGAGAGAGCAGCAGTTGTGGAAATGGAAGCTATTTATTCTGTATTATTGCTGAATTATTTGCATACTGGTGAGGCTACAAAGTCCCCAAATTAGATATGTCTTTCTCCCACCTATCCAATAACACATTCCTAACTTTATGTGCCTGGGGCTCAAGAACTGTATTCGTTTTCCCCAAAGATCTGTTATACATTAATAAGGAGATCTATATCTTAGAAATACATTTCAGGAGTAAGAAGTATATTACATGGATCATAAATCTCACAGAAATATAGCAAAAATGTCATTTTTTTCCACAAGATTTATTTTAAAAATACATAGATATATATCGCAACAGGAATATTTTCCTCTTTTGACTTACGAATCTAGTGTAGTGGCAGGTGGCGTGGTGGTTAAGGCACTGGACATTCTCACATGGCTGACCACAGTTTGAGTCCCAGACATGGTGTCTTGCTTTCTCACTTTCCCTTTCTCCCTGTGTGTGTCTCTCTCTGGTCAAATTGAAATAAGTGAATGAATAAATAAACATTAAAAAATAATAAATAAATAAATAAAAATAAAAGACCTACACTAAGACCAGCTCTACACAAGACAAAAACTTGTTATTTTTTGTACAACGATCACCCAAAGTGTTTCTACTTTTAGCAGTACTCACCCAAAAGAACAAAATTTCAACCTCATACAATTCAGCCCACTATCAGGAAACTAGAAGCTCCTTCAACAAAGCCAAGCTGCCAGTGTAAGTAAAAGGTTATAATGAAAGTCATTTCCTACATTAAAACACTAATGCCCAAGCCCAGTTAATTCCTGCTCAGAAGTTTGTTTACTGCCCTACAACCGGAACCTAAGTGATTTTATATTGGAGATTGGGAGTATGAAGAACTGAGGTACAGGTAGCAATCATTATTAACAGTTCCATAGCAACCACGAGTCTTTTCCTAAAAATCAAGACTCAGGCTCTGCAAAACAAGTCTGAGATGAAATTGGCACTGTGACCTTTGCATTCTGCTTGATCTGGGTGTCTAGATAAAGACTTCTGCAGCCAGGAACTCATTCCTAAAGAAAATGGGCAATGACTTGCACTATTAAAGATACTTTCATATTTTGACTTTAACCATTGTAATATCCTGTAATATTCGAAAAGTTAACATTATTTTGAATTCTCTACACACACTGCCCCAATTAAGAAGTCACACCTCTAGCAAAACAGCTTGATATTTATATATTTGTACACTTTCCACTGTAAAAACCAGCAAGTTAAATATTCATTGAACGAAGCCACACTTAGCGCCCCCATTTGCTAAAATTCTTAGTGCCAAAGAAGTCAGACACAAGCATGGGGAAAGGAAGCCAGTATCTTTGATAGGTTATTTTACCTCAGGCTGGGCACTCCAACAATAATGAGTAAGTGCCACGTGCCAGCCACAAGTGTTACCTCACTTAAGCATACAAAATCCCATTAGGGAGGCACGATTTTACTTCTATTTTAAAACGGTAAGAACCTAGGATTTTTGGAGTTTAATCCAACTGTTAAGATGAATAGGAGATGGACCCCAGAGCTGTCAACTACTCTAAGATCTAACTCATTAGGTTATAATTTAACTATTTTTCCTGTGAGGATCACAGAGTTACGTGACCAAGATTGTATAAATAGTGAGTGGTAGAGCCAGCATTCAATCCCAGGCTGAAACCCAGCGATTGCCAAAATGGACTCCCAATTATCACACAACTGTGTTTAATTATGAATCACTTTATAAGCTCTCAAATGGTGTAGTATTAACTTCATTTTATCTTCCCTTATATAGCATCACATACAGCTGCACTGTGTAAACGATTTTGATGATTGTCATTCCAGTGCTAAAAAAGAGAAAAGCTCACGGTTCTGGGAGAGCCACAGTAAGACTAATTCAGGTCTTCTGAGGCCACAGAGAGGCTTCTTCGCTCCTTGGCATCATCCATTGTCAGTAGCTGCAGGGTTCACTTGGGGCAGGGTTTAATAACAGCAAGCCGTCCACAGAGATGGATACCACAATCAATTCATTCAAAGATGGCTCATAAAGTCTGCCTTAAACTCCTTAAATTAAAGGAGTCATATCCCTGTGTCATTCTAGAAAAATTGTTATATCCTGCTAGGACCCTTCTTCTCACAGGCTAAAAAACAAAAAAGAGCAAATAGCAAATGAGCATGGAGTCGGAGGTGGGGAATGTGGAGGTTTGGGAAGTAGGGGGAAATCATAGGGTATGGAAACCTAACCTGTGAAGAATATTCCTGCATAATCATCCAGCTATCTTCTCAGGAAAAACAGGAGATAGGTCAAACAAATGTTAGCATCCCATCTCTGTGGGCAAGAAATCAAAGAACACACCCCCAGGTCGGTCCTCATTCATCAAGATGTATGCTGCAGGCAATGACTTCCTCCAAAGCCTTTGCAGTGGTCACAAACCCAAACGCCTGAAGGGCTCAGACATGAGAGAAACGGCTCATGGAGTTGGCAGCAATTGTGGCAAAGCTATTATGCGTGGACCGTGCCCTCTGTAAAACAATACCCTGACAGTCCATCTTCCCAGTGGTGGTACCTTTTGCTAATTCTCACTAGGAAAGGTATGTTTTAGGAGCCACCCAGGATTGTGAAATCCTGACAATTACCACCCAATTCCAATGGCCATGTGGAAATCAATCCCAGTGTCGTCAAAACTTTGATTTCCTTCAAGAAGACCCAAATTCAGATTTCTTTTTTATTTATTTATTTTTTTAATTTTGAGAGGTTTTTGCTATAGGGTGCATGTGCTCACCACAGAGACTAAGAGAGACAGAAAGTCAGAAACCACCCCTCAGGGGGAATGACCCCTGGGTCTGAGACTTGAACCACAGTCAACCACGTGGAAGTTCAGTGACTTAACCACTACTTCACCTGCTGGCCCCCAGATTTCATTTTACATGAAGATCTCCTCATATTCAATTTTTTGCAACTAGTCCAAAGTATTTTAAGCATTGCGTGAACAAAACATCAATGTCTGCTGGCTGGATGTGTCCCAGGCATGGACCATCAGTTTCTGGTCTCCTGGCTGTAGAGATGAAGACTCTGGGTTCTCCATCCCCTCTTGAAGGCATATTCACAACAGAAGGCTAGTAACAAGACTGAATTTCCCTTATGAAAAAAAAAAAAAAAAAAAAAAGACAAAAACTTTAGGGGAACATAAAATGCAAAAACACCCTTTCTAGCACTAATAAGTTTCCCTCTTGGTGCTTGCTGAATTTATGAAAACCTTGCTGTTAAAGCTGCATAGTTACTGCGCTCAGGATAGAGTACCTAATCTCATTGAGAGGCAGTTACAGATACTCTAATAGGAAAGCACCGTCCTTGCTACTAAGATTGCTAGCCACCTGTGGTTTAGCTGCAAAGCCCCAGAGGTCAACACGATTGGTATTTCTGGCAACTGAGCACATGAAGTGGCCATCTCACTTCTATGTTTCAGCTGAAAAATATCTACTCCTGTCAATAACCTAGAGGCCCTATAGATGACGAAAAGCAAGCCCATATTCTGCTATGTCGTATATCATAGCACAATTGCCAGCCAAGAAGCCAATACTTCAACTCCTTATTGTTGGTAATAAGGTATGAAAGGGTATGAACACAGCTCAGTTTTTTTGGATGCTAAATTGAGCCTTCAGACTTCAGAGTTGGGGGAAAAACTGGTACATATTTTGCACAAGGGTCAAAATGTCCCCTGTTAAGGAGAAATGTTTTATGCTTGCAACCACTTGAAGCTCTGAGGAAGCAGAAGGATTAACTGTTTCTCTAAGGTCCGCTGCATGCTAATTGTCTCTCTGAGTTTAATGACAGTGGGGGAAGGCAGTGTATTCTGAAGAATATGTCTCTACTTGAAAAATCAAATTCCCCAAGAATTTTAAATCAATCATTTAAAATCCCTACATAATAAAAAGAAGCTCCTCTCCACAATATAGATGGAGGAAACACAAGTGTGGGATTGCTTCTGAAATTAACCTGAAAGAGATTTAGGCCTGGCCTCATAACGTAGCAGGTCAGAACTATGTGCGGGTAGCTAGATCCCATATGGCTAACTGCAGTTCAATCCCAGTCCTGGAACCATGAAAAACGTGTTGGGTGCCTATGTACGTGTGCCCCAAATCCTGCCTGGATGGAGAAATGGACAGAGAAAGATTGAGGCATGACCAGGCCTTGTTGGGGAGTCCTTTCTCTTGTTATCTCTCTCTCTCTGGTCAGCACACATGCATTCTGGTGAGAAAGACAGACTGATATACATTAGGTGTAATTT